CGCTCTGTATGGCGTCCGAATGTCAAGAGGGCTTCTAATTCTTCGGTTATGGCCCCGTTCTCGTTTGGGGTTCCATCGACGTTACGGATGGGGATGGGTGTGGGGAGCGGGGTGGTCTCGAGCTTGTGTCTCCGGACGAACTCAGGGCTCACGAAGTTCCCGGTGGCTCCTGAGTCTAGGAGCGCTGATACGGACACGGAGGCAAGGGAGGTTAGGGAGGTCAGCCTTACGACAAGGTTGAGGGATCTCGGGGACCGTTTGGAGAGGACATAGATAGCAGGTGGGGACACTGCTACCTCTGGGGCCGTCTCTGTGGTTTCCTCATCCTTGCGGGCTCGGGGTGCTCCTTTTCTCCTTTTCTTTGCGATGACTCGATGGAGCTTCGGTGCTGGTGACGGCTCCTGGGCATCGTGGCGTCTGCGTGAGCTATCCCTTGTGGGTGGCTGGCGTGTGCTCCTTACAGGCTGGGTCTCCGGGCGTCCTCTTGGGTCCGGGTCCAGTCCTTTCCCTCCTGCTTCCGGTCCTTTCGTCGCTTGGCCCTTCAGCCCTTCATCAGCGTTTGAAGGTCTTCCGGGTGCAGGCGTCGGGTCTGGCGGGTCTCGGGGTGCGGGTTCGTCCCTCGTCTGGGACGGGTTACAGGGGTCGCAGGTGGGGCAGGTGGAGGGGGCCCAGGTGGGGGCGTGCATGGCTGCGTCCTCTGGAAGTGCCGCCACTGGCTGTCAAGGAGCGTGGCTTCACGCTTCCATTCGGCCCAGGTGATGGGCATAGGGCGGAGCTGGTAGATGCTCTCGCGGAGCCGGGAGTTGATTGCCCGCTCGAAGCGGTCGACTAGCCCTACGTCGCCTAGCTGTGAGGTGGGCCCTAGTATCTCAAACTCCTGGATGAGTCCGTCCACGGGGTCACTTCCCTGTCGGACAGTAGCCAGCCTCTGCCGGGCTGTAGCCGCCCGGTTTGGGTCTTGGAACATGGTGTCAAGTTCTGCATTGAACTTGTCCATGGTGGGTGTGGGGAGCCTGTCCTCAGTAGCGCCATGGTGCGTTGCGTTGCCCATGCTCCTGCAGTCCCTCCCTTCATGTAAGAAAGCATGAAGAGGACTTGGGAGAGGGTGCTGGGGAATTCGGCCGCGCGGACGTAGAGGTAGATCCCGCATTCGGCCTTAAAGCGGTCGAGGTCCTCTCTGACTCCCGAGAAGGGGGTGGGGGGGGCGACTTTGGGTGGTCTGGGTGCGTGCGCAGGCAGGCCCTGGGCTTGGGCTACCACAGTGGCCTGTAGTTCCTGGAACCGGGCCAGGAGGTCGTCATACTGTTCTTGTGTCACCATGGCGGGGGAGGTGGGGGGAGATGGGGTTGAAACCTTCTTCTGCTGTCAGGGACCGACCCGGGGTCGAGAGCGCCCGGGTGTATCGCCCGAGGCTGAGGGTCCGGTAGGTATGACGCGGGCGCGCGTAGCAGCGGGCCCGAAGCAGACAAGGGTCCCTGGCCACTAAGACTAAAGTGGGAAATGTGTTATTGTCATTATCAAGGGAAGTGTAAGCTACTTGCCTAAAGTGGGAAATGTGAGAAGAAGGTTGCTTCTCAGTTCCCACTTAGGCTGTGTTTATATACATGTGGTTGAAGGCCACGTGGGAAGCGCCACGTCATCCAAGCACACAGCCACCTCCGTCTGGGTACCTCCGTAAGAGGTCCTAGGAGTGTCCGGTGTGCGGGGGTCGTCCGGTGTGTCCGGGTTCGGGTGCGTTACGTTGCAGCCGGGTCAATGGTACATTGATACAAAGGAAGTCGTCCGTGTGATAAGAAAGGAATAAAGAGGAGAGAGAATAGAAAAGAAGGAGAGGAAGGAAGGGAAGGGAGAAAAGGGGAAGAGGGGGGAGGTCAAGAGGAGTGGATGGTGGGGCACCGGGTTAGGTGGGGCCGGGTCAGGCGGGCGTGCCCTGACACAATTAGAACTGAAGGGGGATAACTCTAGTCGATTTTATTACTGAAGTGTAACCTATGTACAAGTTGGATATATATATGGTTACAGCGCAGACGGATCCGCAAATGGCGGAGCCGAATGGAGCGGAGCTAACGGGGTTAAACATTAGCCGACTGAATATTACCGACGAGTCAGGTTGCGGGGTTAGCGGAAAGGCAGGCGATAACCCAGAAATGGAAAGGAGGGATAGGCCTGAAGGTGGACTCTGCAGGGCAGGTGAGTGTATTGCCCAGCGGAGGCGGGAGTGCGCTAGCGGACGTCGGAGCTGTCCGGAAGTCTTCGGGGCTCCATACTTAGGGAGGTGTAGGTAATAAATTGAAAGGAGGGGGTGGTGACCATCGAGGGGTACCGAGAGGATTGCGGAATACGGGAGCTCCGAGGTTAGTGAGGAAGGAGCGGAGGTAGACCGGAGGGATCGGAGGGACCGGAAGTCGATGGCCAGGGATGGATATGACAGGTGTGCCCTGACAGCGGTTCTCTTTTTCTCTCCCTGGGGTGTGGGGGTGTGTTTGATGGAACTCCTCAACTAGGTTGGAGGCGTGGGTCAGGTGGTTGTGTCAGAGACCAGGTTGAGACGAAGGAATGTCTCCATGGTGGAGGGCTTCGGCCTCAGTGTTATGGGGATGGGGGAAATTCCCCATTCCTCAATCCGTTCTTATAGTGGGATGACAAAGGTCATGTCTAGTCTGTACCATAACGGGATATGTAATCGATGAGTGATCCCAGTCTTGCCTGGGAGTGGATGATCGAATTCCCATCGATCGTGATTGGTGATGTAGTGAGCTATTAAGGGATTGATGGTAGGTAGTCGGAGATGCCAGGACGGACGGGTCAGCCACAGGTACTTGGCACTCCTCAATGGAGCGTACTGTGTGTGAGGTTGCGACTTGTGAGATGGGTGAGAACTTCGAATAGCTGCCATCGGGTACTTGGCGTTCGCAGTGCGAACGTACCGGTAGCGGGTTGATATCATAAGTGTGCAATGAGGATTGACTAACAGGGCCTTCGGTGACTTGGCGTTCCCAAAGGGAACGTACCGTTGGCAGGGAAACATGATGACTGACGAAGGAGGGAACAGATGGTGGATGGGCGGCTACTTGGCGTTCGCATAGCGAACGTGCCGGCATCATGGGAAAGTGGGCCTCAGAGTATTCACGATCTCCATGATCGTGATGTGACATCGTATGTCGAGTACTGGGGGAGAGCAGAGTGATGAGGACCCATAGGGTACAGATTCCATAGGACGATATACATGTCGAGAGTCTTCGACTCACGACCTCGAGTTCTCATGGTGAGGGCCGTTAGAGGACTCAATATAACCAGACTTATAAGACATGTTGAGAGTTGTACAATCACACGGGTTCAGTTGAGTCACAGGGAGGGTTGTTACAGAAGACGACACACAAGACAGTTGTAGAGCAGTTGTTAGTTAGCGGGAACCGCCTTTGGCGGTTTCCGTACAAGACACGTGACTATCTACAAATGGTAAGGTCGCGGGAAATCCTGCGAAACACAAGTAACCTCGGCCAGCACCAAAACCCCAATGAGGAAAGCTTTGCACGAGGGGGGGAGGAAAGGGTAGAACGAATAAGGAGGGTAGGGTATCGGGATAGAGGACGAAAGAGAGAAAGAGGGGGAGCAATAGAGAGGAGAAGTCCGTGACTATGCAACGGATATGGTCGTTGGAGACTCCGTATCCGTAACACAGCAACTTATGCCAGGAGTGCTGTGCCAAGTAACACGTTGTAACGGGTCTATCCAATACTAACTTGTATCTCGGAATTTAAGGATCCGGATCCAAACCTGAGCCCGAAACGGATGGATGGATTCATTCGGTCCGTGCCGTGGTGGGCTGGTTTGCTTCCGTTGGGATTTTTTTTTTTGGGTGTTTCCCCATATGGACCCATGTAACCCGGCCCTTTCCGCCATTCATTATTTCGCATCCCCAAAATTCAAATCACCTGCCAGCTCCTGTCACGTTTCTTCGTTTGGTTCGATTTCGGCTTTCTCCCCTTCCTTGCTCTCTCCCTCCCCCCCCACCAACCAATATTCAATCTTCACGGTCACGTTGCAGTCACGTTCTCGTTGCAGAACGCACGGCCACGGCCAGCTCCGCTCACCAGCTCATGCCGCCTGCGCCTCGCCTCGCCTCACTGACAGAGTAAGTACTTGCGGCAGCACGAGAGTGAAGACAAGTGAGTGCGGTGCACTCTTTCTTTCCCTTTCTCCATTACCTTTTTTTTTTTTTTGTTTTTTCTCTCGCTGACGATCGATCTCTGCCGTTCCCCAGGGCTGGGCTGTAGCCATCCCCTCCCACTCCCCGAACGCGCTGTATCTCCCTCGCCCACAACATCCCATCCTCGCGGTTTCGGACGAAGCTGATGGCGTTGGATTCGCTCGTGGGCCGTGCCGTCCCATTTGGAGGAGCGGTTGGGAGAACATGCAAATCGCGCGCACGGCCCCTTTCTGACGCTTCGCCGCCGCCGTCGTCGTCGATCCCATTCTGCTCGACTCGAGCCCCGCTCTCGAATGGATGGTTTTTGAGTCATACGGTGAGATGTTACTAGCCGTGCCCGGATTTTTTTTTTTGCTCATTTTCCGTGAGTGTCTTTGTCGACCTCCAGTCCAGTAGAAAGCGATGACAAAAATTCGGTGAAATTTCCCGCTGGGTTACCCTGCTCGAACGCTTTCAGATACCATCGGTCCCGTCCCCAACGGATGGTTTTTGAGCCAGGTACGCGCCGTGAGATTTCCTAGCCATTCCCGGATTTTCTCACTGATTTTTCGCGAATGTCTTTGTCCACCATGGGAGCAAACCGACGATGGAAATCGACGAAAATATCTATTGGAATCCCCTACTGGAGTGCTTTCGGATGCCATCAGTCACGTCCCCAACAGATGGTTTTTGAGCCAGGTACGCGCCGTGAGATTTCCTAGCCATGCCCGGATTTTCTCGCTGATTTTCCGCGAATGTCTTTGTCCACCATTGAGGAAGGAAAACCGACGATAAAAATCGACGAAAATATTCATTGGAATCCCCTACTCGAGGGCTTTCGGACGCCACCGGTCACGTCCCCAACGGATGAGTTTTGAGAGAGGTATGGGCCGTGAGATTCCCTGGCCGTGCCCGAATTCTCTCGCTGATATTTCGCAAATGTCTTTGTCGGCCCTGGGAGAAAACGATACAAAAATCAGCAAAAATATCCCCTGGGTTTTCCTACTCGAGCGCTTTCGGACACTGTCGGTCCCGTCTCCAACGGATGGTTTTCAGAGGATGTATGGGCCGTGAGGTTTTCTAGCCATGCACAGATCTCTTCGCTGATCTCTCGCGAATGGTATGTGTGATCTGACTGGGAAGAGCAATATAATCATTGTGAAATGACACTTAGGTACATTCAGTGGTGTAATTTTCCACTCTTACGACTCTTGATGGTGCCGTCTCTTTTCCCTTCCACTCCAATCTTTTCAAGTGCAGTACCGAAATTGTCGCTCATCTTCAGTCCATAGTGTTTCAGGAACTCCGCCTCACCCATTCTGTACAGTGGGGAAGTGTTAGTGTTAGTGGATATTTAGTCACCAAAAGGAGAAGAGAAGGAAGAGACTACAGACTCGTCATATTTCTGGCCAACACGACGGCGCTTGCCATATGTCACTCCATGTGTGCTCGAGTGCTTGCCAGTGTACCATTCCCGCTTCCAGTTCTTCAGTGGCACTCGGAGCTCATTCTCATCCCCATGCAGCCATTGTTTAATGGCATCCTTAAGTGTGCGGACTGGGGGAATGGTGGTGTGCTCAGCACCCGGAGCGGGTCGGCCATCATCATCGTGGTGCTCCTGGGGCCAACTGGAGCCTGATGGAGGGTGGGATAGAGACTGGGCAAGTGGAGAGGAAGCGACGGGGCCGGGGGGGGGAAGGGGGGAGCAGCACTGGGTAAGGTTGGCTGTGGCCACATTGACTGAGTGGGTCCTCCTGGCTGAACTGTTAGGGACGTATGATCCATTACTGAGCAGACATACCAGTAACATGGTGGTGGAAGGCAACAGGGTGAGGAGGAATAAGATAGCCTATCGTGTGCCTGAGTTGATCCAGTGAGACTTGGAATGAAGCAAATCTGTCATCAATGCTTCGGAGCCCATGCCTGAAGTGGTGCATGTGTTCCTCATACCGGCCCATGCGTTCCTCAAAGCGGCCCATGTATTCACCCAGGTGGCCAAACTGAGAGCAGGCTTCTTCTGCAGTCATTGCTTTGAGTTGCGACATCGCTCCATTTTGAGACTCTAAGTTGTCAATGTGAACCGGGGCAAGTGAGTCGCCATAGTTTGTTTCTGTGGTGATCAGCATATCCATAGCATATTTGAGGAGTGTAGATGGCTGGAATATTGTGAGAGCCTTGGGAATGTGGATGAGATAACGGTGTAGACTCACATTTTCTCCAGGTGCCCACCCACCCCACCACTGGCACTGATGAAGTGGCCACCTTCTGAAAACCGGTGCAAGAGCAAACCAGTACTGAAGACCACCACGCCTGAAGCAGTGTGATGTCAGTCTGTCAGTTTCCAGTTGCGCTTGCCTTCCATAATAGGCAAGAAGATCATTAACGGTGGTGGTTGAGAGCGTTGAATTCCAGTGAATGTCATGAGAACGGTGGGAGCAGGAGGGAAAGAGGGGATAGTGAGGCTTCAAGGGTTTTCCACTGCAATATCGCAGAGAAAGAAACTGAGTCCAGTGCCTCACATGGCAATATGCATCAAGCTCCGGAGTCACATTGGGTCCGTCATGCTGGGAAAATGTGTCCATGCCATAGAGGGGATAGATATTATACCGTGTCCCTATAAACTCGGACTCAGACCAGCAATAGACTGATGGCCACTGGATTTAGTTTACCTTGGCAGCCAGACTCATCACTATGGTTCTGTTTTTGCCAGCCCTTGCGGTTAACCAGGGTGATGCGCAGGTGTGGAAGGTTGTGACTGACTTCCTCGTGTCCCCAATCAAGATGCTGAATAAGGATTGAAGTGAGCTCTTCATTCCTATGTTGAAAGTTGAAATATGAATAAAGGGTTGGTACAGCAGAGATGTAGGTACCTTGTCCATAGAGTCCAGCCCAAAGATGTTAGTGTACACAACATGAGGTGGGAGCGGATGTTGTCACGTTGTTTAAGGGTGAAGGACTCGCTGGGAATACTAGGGTCAAGAGCCTTGCTAATCAGGTCTGGAGGACATTGAGTAGCAGTGACAGCCTGAATAGCCTTAATGTCGCTAATCTGGATTGCCCTTGCATGATTCCGGATAGTTCCCTCAGATGCGCGCAAATTCTTCACAGATTTGACAAGGTCAATGATCAGACTGGATTCACATGGGTTTCCCTGGCACTTTTCAGGATAAGGGTGCGGATGCCAAGTGCCCTCAAATCCTCTAGAGGGGAATCAGAAATGATCACTTCACTTCGTAAATTTTATGTCGCTACTCACAGTTTCCTGAAGTGCCACTTGAATGCGGAGCGGAGTATGTCTACAGTTGAGACAGACTTGTTCTGATCAGTAGCGCGGAATGTGATGTATGCAGCCAGTAGTTTGGCAGTAATTTCCACAGGTTTGTCGAAAGCAAGGAGAGCATCCTTGTGTTGAAAGAGATATGCCTCCGGATTTGGATCCTCAGGGGATGACAACAGTGGGTTACTGTACTTGAGGCAATTCTCTTCCAACCACTTCTTGGCATTGGTTATTGCTGAGCTATAGTTCCGTTGCGTGGAAGTGGACTGGAGGTGTGTATCTATCAATTCCAGCGCAGAAGTGGGGCCTGACCCCAGCTCAGAGTGCGGAGCCAGCTTCTTCCGCACATTTGAAGTTGCATGCTTCAGCAGATGACATCCCTTCTTAACTTTGGGCATAGTGGGTGAAAGTACTAGGATGGATGGGCAGTTATGAGCCAGCGTCGGCACCGAGTTTCACGTGTCACATCAAAGCACAGGCTGATAGTGAGGGACACAGCACCCAGGGATTGCATCCCTTAATCCTTTCATACCATTGGGGCAGCCGGAGTCCAACGAGGATTTCACTATCCATCAAAGATGCATCAATTGCCTGAAGCGGGTTGACGTTGACAGGTTGGCGATAGGGTGGGCATCCTTGAACGAGTCGCACACACCACACACAGTTATGTTACTATCTACATGAAGACTATGGAATGGCCTGACAACGGAGCAGGGGGAAATGGGATTTGAGGACCAGATATTTCATCCTTGTATCCGAACGGATCAGATACACCTGAGTCAATAATGAATCCAAGAGATGACATGCTCATTACAGATTCTCCACGACTGGGGCACAGTCCGTCACCAAGAATCTAGCCTCCCACTTGGACTCCATGAAGTTGCAGGAGAATTGCGACCCCAACCACCTATTCTGGCCATGGAGCGAACTGAGTGCATCGGTTGCACAGCAAGAGATCCACCACGGTTTTGCTCGGGTCCCTTAAGAAGGAATTGTGCAGTCCCAGTGGGGGACAAAGCTGGTGAGCGGAGCTGCCGTGGCCGTGCGTGTGATTTGCATGTTCCCCCAACCACTCTTCCAAATGGGATGGGACGGCGTTTGAAAGCCCACGAGCGAATCCAATGCCATCAGCTTCATCTGAAATGGCGAGGATGGGATGTTATGGGCGAGGGAGATACAGCATGTCCGGGATGGCTACAGTCCTGGGGAACGGCAGAGATCAATTGTCAGCAAGAGAAAAGACAAAAAAGAAAGAGATGGAGAAAGAGCGCGCCACACTCACTGTACTCTCATGCAGCACCGCTAGGCTGGGCTGCCGCAAGTACTCCGTCAGCGAAGCAAGACGAGGCGCAGGTGGCATGAGCTGAGTCGGGGGAAAGATATGGGGTGGTCGGACTGAGTATGGACGCGGATGAGATCGAAGCCGGTTGAGACGACCCTTGCAAGACGCTCGATGTCTGTGTACCAGCGACAGTGGCTAATATGGGGGGTTAACGAAAGGGTGGATTAACATGCGAGTGCCCAAATAGCACTTACTGCCTCGGCCTTGCTTCTCTTTGTCTTTGCTGTCCTTTCCTAAGCCTATAGTCCACTTCTTTTTCTCGCGCTCCTTTTCGGAATCAATGCTGGCGCGGGGTTTTGTCTCCCTATCATTCTTTTGCAGTGCCTTTGTGCCGTTCGTGCAGTCACCTTGATAGAGTCGAGAGCGACACGAGGAGGTGACGAGGGATAGGGCAGGAGAGGGTGAAGAATGGATGTGTCCAGTTTAGCACCGAAATAGGGAATGGGTGGTGAGAGGGAAGGATCGGTGAGATCTGGCGAGTGAGCTTGCGGGAGAATGTGAGGGTCGTCATGTTGCTCTGCAATCCGTCCGTCCGTCTGCGAAATATCCAAAACGGACACATGCAGTAGCACTTACAGCGGAGCGGCCAATTGGGGGGGGGGGGGGGGGGGGTCCGGTATCACGTCGAAATCAAGCAAGCTTCGGCATTTCATCCCTAGATGAGGTTGAGTCCATGAATAAAAGCCAAAATGAGGCGTTGCTCGAGAAGGCAGTCGCTGAGGCCCACATTCTCGCACATGGGGATGACGAGTCGAGGAGGAAGTGGAGGTGGAGGTAGAACAGTGGCCGCGTGGCCAAAGGGATTACGTCTGCTGGGCTTGATGATTCGGCCGAGACTGGACATTGAAGAGATACCTGCTAGGGAGTCGCTGCGGGAATGGCCCGACGATGGAATGGTATGCCGAACTGTCCGGATAGCCGGCAGAGTGAGTCTGTGTGCGAACCTCCAAGGATGAGTGGGCAGGTGGCACTCGAACGGTAAGGCGATTTTGGGAGGATGAGGGGTAATCGTGTTCGTATCTTTGTCGCGGCTAGGACGCGCAGTTTTCCGAGTCACACGTCTGGGCCCACCCCGTCGCCTCCAGGGTAAGAGGTATGTGAGTTGATGCTACAGGCGTGGCGGTCGTGAGCTGAATCGATGGAATGATTCGAGAGAGTTGTTGCCGGAGTAGGCAACGCAACGACGGCAACGTGCCTCAATGCCGGGTGGCTCAGCTGCAAATGCATAATGTCAGAATAATAAGTCTCGCCACCACAAGTGGATATCTCACCATTTTTCTGGTCGCACGGCAGCTGGTTGCTGGGGTGAGCAACGCGATGGCGGCAGTGTGCCTCAGCACTGGGAGCCTCAGCTGTAAATATCAAGTGCACGTTGATGTCAGAATAATAAACATCACGATCCTAAGCGAGTATCTTACCATTTTTCTGAACCAATAGCAGCGCCATTGCTGGGTCACGCAGCCTGATGACCGCAGCATGCCCCAGCTGTAAAGTACCAAAACGGTGATAATGTCAGAATAACAAACAACACTAATTCTAGGTGCCATATCTCACCGTTTGTCTCGGACCCATAGCTGGATGGTTGCTGGGGCACGGGCACGCAATGCGGCGACCAACAGCCAGGCGGATGGCAGATGCGGCAATGTCCGCTACTCGTCTCCCCCTTTTCCTTTTTTCAGAAATAATCCACCATTGATTTGTACCCTTAAATTTTCCTTAAATCGGCCTTAAACTCAGACTCGTACCCAGCCGTCTCCGCTACGTGGACGCGCAAAATCTCGACTAAGTGGTTGTTATATTACAATTCAGTTATAAAGTCACGTTCAAGTACAAAAGTGTATTACAATATAAAAGTCACATGCGACGGACATAAACACAAGTCCGATCACCTACTCCGGAAACCAACTCGCGACACTTCGCTCCGACGACTGGTGCAAAATGGCAGTGGCGATGCTCCACGGCAACTTCCGGGACCGACGGGAAAGCTAGTATCTCAGCCTCAAACCCCTCCTGGCTCCTTCCAACCACCGTGCCACCATGAGCGGGTCTGTAGAACGAGCAGCAGATGATCAGACACCTTCAGCTGAGCAAATAAGGGCTCTAAGTGAGAGGAAATGGAACCGATGTGCCTGCTGGTTCCAAGCCGAAATTGCAGAGTTCCTCCTTCGCAAGCCAAAACAGAACTTAGTCTCAACAGCGGCAACAGGAACAGGAAAAACGTACACTTTTTTCCTTCCTGCCCTCTTCGAAAAGGATAAACCTGGAGTCTCCTTTGTAATTGTGCCGCTGAGGAAACTTGCAGATCAGCACGTGGAGAGTGCCAAGGATTTGGGGCTCACTGCGATAGCATTGGAAGCAAGTACTGTAAATAAAGAAATTGTGAAGGCACGTAATAATTAATGAGCGATTATCCATGCAAAGATTGATGTTACTCACCAAGCAGGCCATCAGGGACATGAAATACCAATTTGTTGTTCTTGGGCCTGATCTGCTTCGAGGGAACCTCCTTAGAGCCCTCTGGGTGAAGGATGACTTTGTCAGTAAAATCCACCGCATTATTGTCGATGAAGCACACTGTGTGGTCCAGTGGCTCTCATTCCGAGCTGCATATAAGAACTTGGCATGGCTATACTCTTACCTCCGAAATAGATGTCAATGGTATCTCACCTCGGCTACCTTGGACCCTCGGATGTGCAGAAAAGTATTAGCAGCCATTGGGTTGGACCCGTACTACAGCACTCACGATGGCAAGACAACAAAATGGATGCGTCGCTCCAATGACCGTCCAAATCTTCACTACTGTGTCCGTCAAATGCAATACAGTAGAAATTCCTGCAATGACTTGGGGTTCCTCATCCCACTGGGCTTAAAAGAGTCCGATCCCCCTCCAGTCCCCTTCCTTGTGTATTGCGAGTCTCGTGCTGACACCGAGCGTAGTGCCGACTTCCTGAGGTCAAGAGTGTGCGCATCCCTGAGAGAGAGAATCGTCTGGGTGCATTCTGGAATGTCAGATGATCATAAGTTGATGGTGGTCAAATCGTTTAAAGAAGGGAATCTTATTGGACTCACAAGTACGGAATCATTGGGACTGGTGACTCTCGTATCCCCAGATCAGCATCCTATGTCTGACTGAAATCACACAGGGTCATGATCTAGCCAATGTAACTTGTTTGGTTCAATTTGGGCCACCAGATAATTTGAACACGTTAACTCAGCGCTTCGGAAGAGCCGCTCGGAATCCGGACATTTCAGCTGTTGTTATCCTTCTCACGCCCAAAGACTACTTCGAGGGGACGCGTCGCCAGCGAGAGGAGAGGGCCCGAAAGACGGCGGAGAACAAGAAGCGGAAGGCTAATACCGCAACTTTCAGTGAGCAGAGACCGGAGAACAAACGCCGAAAAAGGGGAACTTCAAAAAATCATGTCCATGTCGCCCCCCCTGCAGAAAATGGAAACTTCGACGATCACTTACTTGAACTTCATCGTCCAGACCCTGACCTGCCACCCAGAGCGGACATATGGCCATCCAGCGATGTTGATATCACTCTGGGCGTTCCATTCGAGAATTCAGGGACCACCGATGTCAGCCAAAAACATCTCAACCCAGAAGTGGAGTGGGATGGGTGGGATAACATGACGTTAGCAGAGCTTGAAGCAGTTCTAGATGACGCTGAGAAAGAGCTGGAGAATGAGTTGGCTGAGTTGGAAGGGGATCATTGTTTGGAGGCCGTCGAAAATACAAGTGAGTGGCCCAGCTCAAGAATTTTGACTACAAGCTTATAGAACAGCCACAGATGGTAGGAAGCGAACAAGGGGCAGTGGTGTTATGGACATAGACCAGGATGATGAGTTCTGCGGCCAGGGAAATGCTGGCTTTGGTGTGACAAATTTGTTGAAGGGGACAAGCCGGAGGAAGAACCCTGGAGATCGTGAGAATGTTGACCCTGCATTGGACGCGTTCATCAACGCACCTTGGCTCCCCAAAAGTGACCCTCGCCATGGCTGCCGGAGGAAAGTCCTTGACGTTCACTTCGGGAATGACCGCATTGGTATGTATTGAAGGATGTGTTATTGACATGTGCCTGACCTCATTTCTTATGTCAGGAAAACCCCGCCAATGCTGTAGACGCTGTAACTTCTATGAGCCCGTGACTTGTTGTGATCTCCACAGCCCATCTCTCACGGCGCTAATGTTTGATCACGAACTTGGAGAGCCACCCACAAAGTGGCTACCTCAACACGCAAAATCGAACTATCAAAAAGATCTGAACCTTTCTTCTCAGTTAGGCAACGCGCTCCGGGACTGGCGGAAAGAAGAATTTGCTCGCCGGTATCCAGATCTCCAGGGTAACATATGGATAGGCGACTGGATTGTACTGGGCGACACGCTCATTGAGGATATTATTTATCTCGCAAATGGCAAAAAACTCTCGAATGAGCAAGATTTTATACAACTTGTCGACTGGGTCGAGCGTGCTCACTATGCCGCTGCCTTATTGCCTATAATTCACAAAAATTTCCCAATGACTGTACAGCCGCCTGCTCAGCCTTCCGTGCTTCCTGAACCTGAGGCTCCACCTCGCCTTCGTTCGAAGAGATGCAGCAACTGCAACCAACTCGGTCACAATGGTGAGCTTTCTTTCCCTGCTCAAAGATGTTGTTTACCGATCAATGACTCTGGACTAGCTCGAACGTGCACTGCACAATGCCTGACTTGTAGCCAGACAGGCCATACGAGTGGGTAATATGCAAACATATATACAAATTTGACACTTTGACATTGCATCAGAGACGCGCTGTCCGAACAAGGAAAATTTTGCCAGTCGAGCAGACACGTCGGCTATGGGCACAAGGTCATCGCTGACTACACATCCAAGTCCGCTGCCTCAACCTCGTAAGTGTCATCCATTGATTCTGATTGCTTTGTATTAACAGAGGCCCACATCGTCCCATGTTGGAACATCTCCAGGCCCTTCTGAACATGGTCGTTGATCAAAGTAGGTGAAGTGCGTCCTCTCTTGTACTTGTGAGGGCAAAGATTACGAAGTTCTTGGCGTATAGCGAGTAGTCGGGATCCCATGTCGGGGCTTGCATGGTGAAGGGTTTTGTCAGGTATGTAGTAATCATCTTCAACGTCTTCAATGCAGGACCTATAAGCCTCAATGATCGATGACTGACTAATGATGTACTCTATTGTTTTTCCAGAACCCGTCCCCGAGTAGACAACCTAGAGGCGTGTAACATCATTAGTAATTTGAATTCACTAATTGGTTGCATGTCACACCTTCGTATAAAGATTCATCAGTTCGACCAGCCAGTCAATTGCCCTAAACCCGCCACCTTTCCCTGCAGGATTGCAGAGCCAGCTCCTCATGATGGCTTCTTGAAGTGGTAGCGGGTAGTGTCGTAGTTTGAAGATGAAATTCGAAAGGTATGTTGCATACTTATGCTTTCCACATGCCTGGAAGATTGGAACCCAGAACAAAAGAACGTCGATTATCACATCGACCATTCCGTGGTTCATCGCATGCACGAGGATGCGGTAGTACATCGTGTCTCTATTAAACAAAAGTTGGTTTGTCCTCCATTGATCTTGATCCTGCCGCTGCTGCTGGTCCATAGCATTCTGTTTGGTTCTGAAATGCAACCTTTCGATTTCCTCGGCACGTCGGTCAATCTCTTCCAAGGTGGGTTTGGAGGCAACAAATCCCTCAAGATCACCGTCCACACTCTCTGCCCACGCATCAAGAATGGTACACTGGGTGATATAGTTTAATCCGTCATTCACCATCCGGAAAGGAGGGACTGCCTTGTTCAATTTGGCGAGGTCGTTCGGAAAGAGCAAACAGAGGCGCTTGTAGAGTCCATTTGGGTCACTTCGTAAGTTATCCCCATTCGCGTGAATCCTATTCATTGCATCGACACATGCCATTCTAACGTGAAAAAGTCCTGGTATAGGCAGAAGGTAGTGCATACGATCCAATATGCTTTGTTCAATTCGCCGTGAGTTCAAAATTGTCTCAATCTTCTCCATTGTCCCGAGATCCCCATGGATCAGGATTACATGCTTCTCGAAAACCCTCTCCTCCATGATGCCGCTTTGTTCGAGAAGTGACATTATTGCTTCCACATTCCCATCGATAGTAGAGGCCTTTGCATAGACAGCCTCTGCGGTTGAGTATGTAGTTCGATGTGGTGGTAATTGAAATGTCGATGGTGGGTCTATGAGATGTGGACGCAGTTCGGGGAAGTATTCTTCAATTAATACTGATTTAATGTGCCACTGACAATGCTTCATCAACTTGAACACAGCGGCAGCTGTTGGTACAATATCGGCAAAGGTGATCGCAGCTGGTACATTGATGGAATTGGGATTGTTTGGGTGAGTGTTCCATATCGTTTCGGCGTATTCTAAGTGCTCAGGAAGCACTTCCTTTGGTGGCATAAAGAACAGGCCTGTCGTGATGCTCTCGAATGTTCGGTCCTTAAGGTCCGTTGGCTGGCCAACCCCAAACTTGAAGTCGCAATTATCATATGCCAAGTTCACGATGCGAGTGCGACCAAGGCTTTTGTTCAAGATCTTTTGATTCTTTATCAACAAAGTTCGAATGTTCTCAATCGATGAGGGGGAAACTGCAAGTCCAGTGTGAGCGGCCCACCCACGGACTGATTTTGAAGCATTTGACGCGGCCAAATAGAAAGAAATTTGCACTTGCAATGCATTACAGTGCCCATTGCAATTATTCACAATTAGCGATATGATCACAACTCCCTTCTAAGCAGGGTTCTTTGGTAAGTCAACCGTTATACTCAACAAGTGCGTCATCACTTACTATTTTAAGGAGGGAAAACTGTCTCTCTGAAGAATTTCCCTTCGACTGCCTTCCCGCACTAACGTGGTCCCCATCGTCAGCTTTGTTCCTTCCACTGCGAGTTTCTGTGCTTGGAGGTGCAGGCTTTGCCCAACGCCTCACTCGCATCTTACTTTCCACTACGAGCAGTTTCTGGAAAAGGCCCCACAGTGCTGGCACCCTAGACTCGAAAAATGGCGCCAATGCACGGATCCTTCCCCCTTCAAGCTGTGCCGGATGAAGGTTGTAGGCCGTCATGTGAAGTCTGCTCTCCTTTTCCATGAGTATCCGTATTTCTTCCATGTAAACGGCTTCAGCACTTGTAAGGATCCAGTCTTTCACAATGACAGCACTCCCAGGATTTTCCTCAGGATTGAGAATATGGAATTGAATTTCACGCAGTATGTCACCAAAGCGTATGGAAGTCAACAGAGTTGATAGAAAGGACGTGAGGGTGAACCCATTGGATGTCATGTACTCAAGTACATCTGCTGCTCGTTCTACAGACCCGCTCATGGTGGCACGGTGGTTGGAAGGAGCCAGGAGGGGTTTGAGGCTGAGATACTAGCTTTCCCGTCGGTCCCGGAAGTTGCCGTGGAGCATCGCCACTGCCATTTTGCACCAGTCGTCGGAGCGAAGTGTCGCGAGTTGGTTTCCGGAGTAGGTGATTGGACTTGTGTTTATGTCCGTCGCATGTGACTTTTATATTGTAATACACTTTTGTACTTGAACGTGACTTTATAACTGAATTGTAATATAACAACCACTTAGTCGAGATTTTGCGCGTCCACGTAGCGGAGACGGCTGGGTACGAGTCTGCCTTAAACTGGGACTTGTAATTCACTTATTGAATACTTGTAAATACTTATCACCTTAAATCGAGGATGTTGGGCATAGCAAACCCTTATCGAACGATTTTGCATGAAGATATCACCACCCTGTACAGTACTGCAAAATATCAAGCCGCCAAAAAATGAGGTGAATTTTTTATGTCCCAAATACGTGTAGCCAATCTAGTGAATCCACGTTTGTACACTGTCCACAAACTAAAATTTGACGCGCTTGGCGCTCACATTCACATAGGCAGAATCTGCCAACCCAGTTTACCATCCCCCAACTAAAAGCCACAGGGTCGAAAGCCAGAGCAGTTTCCACAATCGACATCCCACAGCCGGCACGCGGATGAATATCACTGAATAATCATTACAATAATATGATTCATATTTCCTGACACAAAGTAATATTGATATTTCTTCCATTTCTTCTCGACAGCCAAATTACAACGCGATTTCCCTTCTCGAAATATTCGGTTCAAAATTCATGTTATTATTTTCAATTCAAATCGTGTCGTACAATGAAAAAAAAAAAAAACACATCCCAGTCGGCAGAGGCGCCAGCAAAGGTGACAGGGCTGATATGACGGGCAAAAAGAAGGCTGCCGTCATCAGACAGCAGCGCCAGAAAGTGGGAAAGGGAGGCGTGAAATGGAACGAGGGTGGTACGGTGTTCCAAATTCCCGAAGCACCCGTGTTGTTTGGGTACCGACTGTCAGTGCCTTCCATCGTCCATGACTATACTACCCACCGATGCACTGGCATCAAGCGTGATGCGGGGAATCGTCCACGAAGCGCAAATCCGCCCTCAAGGCAGACCACTTTTTTTCTCTCTCTCCTGGCGATCTTATTTTCCTGCCCCCTGCCTTCCTTCTCTCCAAGTAGACCGAACGGACCGAGCGGCGAGAGAGATTGGCCGCGACGGTTCGTGAGAACGACGCTCTCGTGGCGCTTCCCAGCCCAGCCTAGCAGTCGCAGCTAGCCCAGCCTGGCATGCACGCGGTTAAGCGCCGATTGCTGGTCAGTGTCCCTCCATCATCCATGAGACAGTGCGCACTTACCGGCCACCGTCAGTAACAGTGACATCGACGAACGGCACGTGCCACCCCCAGCTGCCAACGTCAATATTTGTTCTCCCTTTTTTTTTTTCTCAACCGAACTGAATGGTGTGAATGGGAAAACCCGCTCGGAGCCGATGTTCGAGTTCCAGCTGGACGCTCGTGATTTAGGACGGTTTAACATTCAACGGATAAATCGGTCAAAACAACAGTACTTGTTATGTACAAGCTGTTATCTAGTTTTTATATGTTTGAAATGAAATGAATGGACTGGGGGAATGTAAACGGGCCGTTAGGCAACCGTAAATGATGAATATCCAATTGGGAACAAAGAAACAATAAAAGAAATATGAATGAATGGGGGATGTATCATAACGGGTCCGAAATGGGAAATGTAAAAGTTAACTCCGCAACGCTTCGCCACAGCGCCCGCCTATCCTCCCGTCAGCAACCTCCTCGTCTCCAGCTTTCCAACGAGCCCCTATTTGTCCCATTTGGTGCAGTAGTTGTTGAGATGTGGCCATTGACAGGTACTGTCAAGACCACGTGAGACTCTACTCCGTGCTGAACCATCCGGGCATGGGATTACCATTCTGGGAAATGCTCCGGGGGTGAAGAAGGAAGGCAGAGCATCACTATCGGGTGGAAAAAACGGCTGGGTTGTATGTGTAGGTATGGAGATCTGGGGAGGGGGTGAAATTGGCGGCGTGGTTTGGCGTGGGAATTTTGCTTGGGGTTGTCGGGAATGATGGGGAAAATAGGGAAAAATAAGGAATGAGTTTGTGGAGTGTTGGATAGTGTTAGAATGAACATCGGGAGCGTTAGAGGGTATGTGGTATATGTTGGTGGCCAAATTCCACAGAATCCGACTTTTTGCGGTACACGGAGTTGTCCCCACAACAACGTCCATGCCCTAACTTACTAACTGGCAACCAGAACTGAAGGGGGGTAAACTCTAGTCGATTTTATTACTGAGGTGTAACCTATGTACAAGTTGAGTATATATAGTTACAATGAGGGCAGGCCCGCAAATGGTGGAGTGGAGCTAATGGAGTTAAACATTAGCCGATTGAATATTACCAACAAACCGGGTTATGGGGTTAGCGGAATGGTAGGTGATAACCCAGAAATGGAAAGGAGGGATAGGCCCGAAGGTGGGCTTGCAGGGCAAGCGAGTGTATTGCCCAGTGGAGGTGGGAGTGCACTAGCGGACGTCGGAGCTGTCCGGAAGCCTTTGGGGCTCCATACTTAGGGAGGCGTAGGTAATAAATTGAAAGGAGGGGGTGGTGACCATCAAGGGATACCGAGGTGATTGTGGAATATGGGAGCTCCGAGGTTAGTGAAGAAGGAGCGGAGGTAGTCTGGAGGGAATGGAGGGAGTGGAAGTCGATGGCCATGGATGGATATGACAGTATCCCCTTCTTAGGCCTGAACCCTTGAAGGCCCAGAATTAGTAAGGTGAGGGGAGCTGTACTTACAGAAAAGAAAAAATGAAAACGGAAGTGAGGAGTGGAGAGAAAGGGAGAGATGGGAGAGGAGTCGGGGTTCCTCAGGAGCTTTGGGTCCAGGCTTATCTGGGTACCGAGAGTGGAATGCTTTGACAAGGTTGGAGGCGTGATCGAGTTTGCTGGCAAGTGTCAGGGCCCGGCCCTCGTTCCGTGACGGGCCTAAGGGGATCCTCCGAGTCGCTGGGGTATCTAGTCCCAGTCCGAGGTCTTCAAACTCACTGAGGGGGCTAGCCCCAGCCTTCACAGGAAATGAGTTGAGAAGAAGGGTAACCTTCTCAACCTCCTGTGAAGCTGCTACAAATGGGAGCCGGGAACTATACAGTTTTCGGCTCTTTGCCGACTTTCCATAATTGGCACCCCCCCGTGGGAAGATTCTGGGCGAGCAGCTCGCCCAGAACGTTCCCACGGTTGTGGCTGTGATGGTTTCTGGGCGAGTAACTCGCCCAGAACGTTCCCATGGTCTGCATGCACGCGGGATTGTGGAACAGTGAAGGGAAAAATAGGAGAAAATGGGGGAAGGGTACCTGAGGGTGTGTGGGGTCAGGGGCTGTGCCCTGACAGCAAGGAGCCATTGTGTCTCCTCGTCGGTCCCTTCATAGCCTAGCCACTTGACCAGGTAGAGCAACTTGTTGCATCTACATTGGTCGATCTTGGAGTCGAGTATCTCTTTGATCTTGAACTCCATCTCGCCTTCGATTTCTATGGGAGGTGGAGGTGGCTGGTGGTGGTTCGGAATGATGTTGGGGACAGAGGGTTCAATCTGTGAGACATGGAATACCGGGTGAATGGCTCGCATGTTTTCTGGCAGGCAGAGAGTGAGTTCCAACATGGGCAATGATCTCGAATGGGCCGAGGTTCTTCTTGGAGCGCTTTTTGGAAGGTCGGGTGGAGCGGAAATACTTGGCCTTTACATAGACCGAGGTTCCTACCTCAAAAGCTGGGGCAGGACTCCGACAGGAGTCTGCTGGGCCCTGATAATGGATCTGAGCGAGGTGCATTTCCTCATGAAGGAAGTGGTGGAGGGAGTTGAGATTGATGGAGTACTCTTGGGTGCGTACTGATGTCAGGTCTCACTCTGGGTGAACGGTGATGTTCGGATGGTAGCCTTTGTTGGTGAAGAACGGAGAGATGCCTGTGGTGCATTCGGAGCGTTGTTGTAAGTGAACTCCGCAAGAGGTAGGAGTTCGGACCAATTGTCTCGCTGGTAGTTACTGTAGATGCACAGGTACTGCTCGAGCATCTGGTTCATCTGTTTGGTCTGACTGTCTCCTTCCGGATGATAACCGGAGGTGAAGTGGAGGCAGATGTTGAGGGCCTTACCAAGTGAACGGAAAAAATGAGAGACAAACTCCGGACCCCTGTCAGAGGTGACATGGGAAGGAACTCCGTGCTTGGAGAACACATGGAGGAGGAAGAGCTTGGCCAGTTCCAGAGAAGTGATGGTATTGTGGGTAGGAATGAAAATGCACTGTTTAGACAGGCGGTCCACAACGACCAAGATAGAAGT